AAAAATTGATTAAATAAATTTTGTCCAAAAAATTTATCAATCAATCACATCATTTGTCAAATCAAAATCCAAATCCAAAGAAATGACTTTTCATTTGCACTTTGCAAGTGACTTTTCATTTTCCCTCCAAAGTAGTTCCCTCACTTTTGATATTCTCTCTTTTTTTTTTCCATTCACACTTGCTAAAACCCAACAAAAACATCAATTCATTTGTAATAATTAGTCAAAACACAAAAATCAAAAGAATTTACCTGATAAAGATTTTAATTTGAGTTATAGAAGAGAATTTCATCAAAAATAAAAATTAAATTGCGTCAAGAACAATTCTGATGAAACTCTATTTTTTCCGACAAGACTAATATAAATATAAAATATTATTTTCTTTGAAATCGTTAAAGGAGAGGAGGCAAAGTTTGTGTGGGAATCAATGTGAAAATAATTATTGGAGAATGGATGGTTTCAGTCGAAAGCGACTGTGTGTACTAGCAAACAAAAAATTAAAAAACGATGAACGTCGGGATGGGTGGGTGCCTGGGTCTTTGGCAAAGAAGAAATTGGAGAGAAAGGTATTTCCAATTCTTTTTAGGGGATGAAAACAAAATTTTATTTCATTTTATTTTTAATGTATTTTTTTAATTGTTATTATGGATCCAAGGCCACGTGCCTTTTTCTGATTAGCATTAAGCCATGTCATCGCAAGTGGATGATGGTAAAAAAATATTCAATAGGTTTTTTTTTTTTTGCTTATAAAGGTGTTTAATTGAAACAAACATAAGATAAGGTATTCAAGTGAAATATGCGGACAACTTTAAATGGCTACATATGACTTAAGCCTTTTAAATACAATGATATCAACTCAATAAAGACTATAAATAGTTTAGACAATTATTTTCCTATATATTTAAAAAAATAATTAAAACTCAATAAAATAATTGAGGACAAATTAACCATTATTATTATATTATTCAAATAATAAAGCAAAACCAAGTTTTTTTTGCGCTTCTTATGGAATAGTCTTCTTATAATTTTGAAGATAACACAATAAATTATCCACATAATTATCTTGTCTTTCTTTGTCACAAAAAAGACTTTTCATCTGTTTAACTTTTTCTCGATAAATTTCACCCTCTTTTTCAATGAGTACCAAATTTAGTGACTTAGCTACTGAGTCACGAGTGAATGACCCGTCACAATCATCTCTTGGTATTGAATACGCTATCTTTTTCTCCTCCAAGAGCCTAGCATTTATCCCTTGATCAGCAGAGAATGTTAAGAGAACTAATGGCTTCTCATATTGTATTGCCTCGACTACTGAACTCCATCCTGAATGTGTCAAAAATCCACCAACTGAGTCATGACTCAATATCTTGAGTTGTGGTGCCCAACTCGTGCACACTATTCCTCTTCCCTTCATTCGATCTTCGAATCCTTCTGGTAATTGAACCAACTCATCATCCGATTCTCCTCTTTTAGTTCTTAAAACCCAGAGAAATGATAACCCAGAAAGCTCTAATCCAAGTGATAACTCAATGAGCTCATTTTGACTCGATTTTGCCTCACTACCAAATGCAACATAAATCACTTTCCCCTTTTCTCGCTTATCAAGCCATAGTTTTATCTCTATCCACGCATCGATCTTCGTGCTGTCATCTTCGTACGGTGTTGTCGGAAGTTGACCCACCGGCAAAACCGGTTTCCGGTGAATATCTCCGAGAACTTTCAACCATTCTGGTTCTAATTCCGAACAGCTCCTCACAAACAAAAAATCACAATTTTCAACTGATTTATAGTAACGAGTAATATCAGCAATGTTCTCTTCCTCTCCCTTCATGGTAGCTTCGAAGATTCTCAAGACTTCGAAAAGCTTGAAAGCAACTGTAGTTTCAAACGGAACCCATTTTGGGGGAACGGTATATTCCTCCGGCGTTGTACGAATTTCATAATCATTGTTTAATCCCGGTACAGGTCCGGTGAAACCCAGAAACGCAGCGATGTATATGCTGAAATGACCTGACCGAATGTTGAATTTTGAAGCAATTGAAGGAACCCAGTAAGAAGTAAAATCGAATAGTATAAAATCAAGATCTGAATCTTCGAGAAACTTAGCCATGGATTCTTCGAGTCCATCTTGAGCAAGTTTGAGGTATTTGACTTGCTCATAAGTTACATCGGTAGTGGCTTCTGCATTTTCCGGCAAATTTTCCACATAAGGCATTGGAAGTTTGACAAAATTTAAAAACGGGGTAAGATTTGGGGAAAGTTTTGGGAGACGATCTATGTTTCTGGGAGTCGAAATAAAAGAAATTTTATGACCCTTTTGAGCAATTAGCTTCGAAAGCTCTAAATACGGAATCATATGACCAAAAGCTAACCATGGAAATACTCCAATATGCAACATTTTGCTATTTTTCGCCATTTTTGTG